TGAAGAAGATTGGCCAGTTTTCTCGGGTGTAGGCCTCAATGTAGACTGCTTCGAGGAGTAGGAGTGTGGGTATTATTAGTTTCATTGTTATGTTTGGGAGTTTTGTTACATGTTTGTGTGGACTGGAAAGACTCTTTGGAATTTCACGAGATAAGCGGACGATTGCTACTTGGGGTTAATTGATGCTGATTAGATCTTATGATGATAGCGAAATCACGGTAGTAAACAAGACTATAAATAAGACTATGAAGCCTACAAAGAAGTTTATGTATGAATTGACTTACAATAATTTTAGTTTTAAATACCTAACACAATACCTTGCAAATTATTTATCCTTAAGTAAGTAGTTAACATAATTGTTTCGTAGTTATTTAAAGAAACCCCCCGTACTTTTATAAATGATAATAATTAGTGTAAAGAATATTCAACTTATATTCTCTTCCACCTCAAGAAACACTTAGGCCTATATTTTAGCAATGCTGCGAATTGTTGCCAGGATTCTATAAGAGAAGCTGCAAACGATTATTTTCTTTCCAATAAATGGAACTGATATTGTTTTTTTTGGGATTTCAAATTCAGCAAGAGAACCCCCCCCAAATGTATGTAAATGTTAAGACTGTTAAGTTTAATTGGTTAGTTATTTAAGTGCTTAAATTCATACGTTTGATTTGAATTGTGTCCACGTTTGAACAGTAATCACCCTGAGTTAGACGGGTGCACCATAGACTATTCAGTATAGGATTTATGTCCGATATTGAACAAGGGGTATCATTGGCTCTAGACTTCTACTGAATTAATTAGATGTGTCCCCCAACACTTTTTGACCTATATTCGCTTGTAGTAGCCAATATCTGTACTATAAGTATGGTGGACATTCTTATGGTAATAATTCAGAAGTGTATGGTTCTTTAAAAAAACACTGAATCAACTTCGATATAGTAAAGATGAATCATTGTTAACTTTCAGAAGTTATGTAGTGTTGAGATGAATAGGGGGGGGGGCATTAAACAATATTACAACAATTACTTTCTAATCTTCACCAAACATCTGATAGTGAATGCTATACAAGCAGCCCCCTTATAATGTACATACTGTTACTTATACTCGGAGTTTGTAGTGGTTATCAAAAGGTCTCATTCTACAAAAACATCACACTCGAAGATCTGGACATCAGACTGATCAACATGATGGAGAACCCACAAAAGGACAAAGGTGACGACCTAATGGACGGGTCTTTTTGGTACTACGCACAGCTTGAAGACATGGAAATCGCTTTCAAAAACAACAAGACAGATGCGCTGGAGGTTATTAGGAGGTATGTGGAGAAAGGGAGACCGAAGTTCGCAACGACGGCGTTGAATAAGAGTTTAATTAAACAGCAGTTTCTGTGGGACAAAGGAGACTTTTTGGAGTTCGGTGTGAATGTTCAGGGTACAAACTGGCTTTTTGACAAGTTTGAACAGTTTCTCAATGGGACTCCTTGGTGGTAGAGTATTAGAAGGTGGAAGTAACAGGGATTATACTATTGTGAATATGATATTTATTTATAAAAATAGATTTAAACGTGTATATTTGTGATAATGGTGAGAAAGAACATATTGAACAGTTCAAAGCTAAAATGTCAATGCTAAAACATTTTGGAAAACAAGTGTTGAATCTGTAAAGAAATGTTTACGTTGTTTTAGTATCAATGAATAATATGTTTTCAAATCTATTTTGGATTTGTGTTGTAGGTGGCTAAGGTAATAAAACAGTCTTCAACCACTTGTCAATGTTGAGATTTACACTGTGGAGTGGACATTTTGAAGGAGGTAAATTATTAGCGAATTTCCCTATATGTGGAATAAGCTATTACCGTAGGTCTCATGGTAAGACCTGGACCCGGGACCGATTTAGTTTTTCGTTTTGAGGTCCCCAGAGGCCAAAAACACCATCCGTTCAAATTCATATATATACTAGCTGTAACCCGCGGGCTTTGCCCCGTTTAACTTCTTAATTTTCAAGATTATCTCGTTCGCATGGCTCAATCACGTCCTGGTTGAAGTTTGTTCGCTACGCTCACTCACCTTTAGGTTGGAGCTCGTTCCCTACGCTCACTCACCTTTAGGTTGGAGCTCGTTCGCCGCGCTCACTTGCCTCCTAGTTAGCTCGTTCGCTACACTAACTCGCCTCCAAATAATTTAGTATATTGAAGCATTGTTGCATGCCTAACGGTTACGGAAAAATCGCAAAATAATGTAAATTTAAAATTCCCATGTTATTCTTATGGAGAATAAATACAGTCTTGTACCTTGCTTGTGGATGGACATATATTAATGAAATTTTGAAATTTTGTTTACTTCATACTGAGCTATTAATATTTCAATAAAAGCCCCCTATTTTCTTCCCTGTAGCAGCAAACCTCATTAATGATGTTTAAATAGGAAATAAATCTGACAATTTTAAGGGAACAATTTAGTGGAATTCCAGCTGTGTATATGGAAATTCGCTTAGTCTGCAGGTTTGCTGCGGCGGGGGTATATATAATTATTACCGTACATTGACCATCTATATACCGCTATACCAGCCGTCATCAAGCCCGATTGAGAGGTTGAAAGTAAACTCAGATTTGGCCTGATGATAAATGACGTAACTGGTCAAAATCCAAGCCAATGCATCTAAAAAGAAACGTTTTGAATATTTCTACTAATCAAGGGTCAAAACACCTTCCAGCCAGAGTGGAATGTCAAATCAAGTTTTCCAAATCACTGTAGAAAAAATCTGCTCCCACCGTTTATAAATTTGTAATTTCAATAATTTTGTTTCTATCAATCAGCACACGATGGTTCTCATGGGTTTATAACAGTCAAACATATTTTTCTAACCCCACTTCCTTCAATTCAGCCCCACACCCTCCTCTCCTTTAATCCCCATCCAACAGCACACATAGACTATTCTGATCCTCCTCTAATACTCTACACACTTTCCACTGACGTACTATTGTCGAAGAACGACTCCCACAGTTCCTGAGTGGCTTCCAAAGTAGCACAAAAGTGTGTCAAGTCAGAAGAGACCCAGTTGTATCTTGCCCTAAGCAGGTGTTCGTCCCATTTAACCTTCACCCATTGCGGCCCTTCAGGTCCGATCTCGTCCAACACTTGCTGTCCTTTCGGATGTCCTTCGTCAAGCAAGTTCTTGGCGTCATCAAGGATATCGTAGTACATGAACGAGTTCCTCATCAAATCCCTCCCTTGTCCTTTCACAGGATTGAGGATGTTCTCTATGATGATGGAGTCTAATTCTTTCATGGTTATGTTTGGTCGGACATAGTCTTCAGGTAAGATGGGTGTTGGCACTGGGAAACACTGAGATAAGAGAAATCTTATGAGAAGTAGATACGGTACGCCTAATCTCATCTTGAATTGATAGGGTTGAAATGTATCTTAATTGTTCTAATTTTTAATCTGATGAAGTTATATCTGCTTGGAATCGTGTAAAGGTTTAAAGATATAACATTTTTCTTTCAGCTATATCTTCAACATAATTTTGCATAAACTTAACTTAAAATTTAAACGTAAGCAAAGAAAGTAATAAATACTTTATTCCCTAAAAAACTTCAACTGCCTACCTATATCTGTCGAAATGGAGCGTGCCAAGTAACAGAGGGATAGCTACTGTATTTCCTAGTTAATTTCCTGAAGAGGTGGATTCTGTATCTATTTTTTTTTTCGGGCTAACCTTAACATTACACACAAATTTGACTGAAGGTTTACACAAAGGTAGGTTTTACACATACTCGAAGAAGATATAGGCCCATTTTGATTAATGTCCGTAAGGTCAACTTTTTCTGGTACTCTAAACATCCATATTTTTAGATAGAGATTTTGGAGGCAAATATTATTTGTTTTCCACGTAAAAAATCCAAAATAAATTTTATCTACTAATTTGTATAGGTAAATTTTCTTTAATTTTCAAATAAATGTCTTAATCTTTTTCTTCCACACAGCTAAACGAAGATAAGTTTAGTCTACTCTATGTAGTGCATTTCAGGTTTCTTATCCAATTATTGAGTGTGTATCTGTTTTATAAAGTAAACTCAACGAATAAATAATTCCTTCTGCGTCCCCACTCAGTTTCAAATCGTGGACAAAGCAACAAATAATATAAATGTACTAAAATACCTCAATTTTGGGTCCCAAACTGTACAAATGAAACAAACTCAATCAATTGCCTTAAAGTGAATGTCATGGCCGTAATAACAAATTTAAATGAGAGCATACTGTAATGGTGACGACATTTAGAAGGCCTGTATAAATGTTTTATCAGGTAGGCTGCAGGTTTAACATTATATTGCTGCGGTGATCCAATTTGCTAGAACCGATAATCTCCTTTGACACCTTCTAAGGTTAATGACCTTCTACCTTACTTTAGTTTCGTCTTACCTCAATTCTTATGACTATTAGGTGTTTATTTATTTTCGAAATATAGAATTCAATTTCAATGCTAGAGGTACAAGTCAAAACCCATATGTTGTTTCTTACATACACTTAAAAATCATTAAATATCTACAGTGTCTGGAGTCTATTGCTTGTGTTAATAATATCAAATGGAACCAAAACATTTTCGGCCCTAAACAGTAATATTTTTTTTTAACAGAGGAGTATATTGTGACCCCATGCTACTTAGATCCTTCAGCCTTTTAAAACACTCTTTGACCCAATCTATTAGCCTTTATTAGGCGTCTTGGTAAATTAAACAGCTGTTGGACCCGGTTTACTCATTTAATTGCCTTTCTTTGTAATTCAATTTATTTTCTTATTTGGAGTATATATTAGGAACTCCACCAACAACTTAGAGAAGGCTATAGTTGTACCGAGGTAAAATAAATATTCAGCTTAATTGGATTTATTCTAAATTAAAGTATACTACCTAATTGGCAATCATGGTAGGGGTTTGCATTTTAATTAAAAATCTGAAATCAAACAAAATTTATTTTCTACAATATGCAGTTTTATATTTACCTGATCTACAGGGATGAGTTCGACTTTATCCTCAAGTCCTTTCGATGTGTGTGACACTCCTGAAAAATAAACTTACAGTTAGTAACATTCCACATAGCCATTCTACAATACAAAAGTAGAGAAACATCTTTTTTATTGGAATAAAACAGAACCAATTGGACGAACAGAGCCATGATGGTTCATGAAGTTTCACTGCAACATTTTGAAGCGTTTCAAAAATAATATTTCCAGTTCGTTGTTTGAATTTGTACTAAAAATATTTAAAGTTATATAGATGCAAATACAAACATTATCGTAAGAAATTAAGCATTTATAATGTGGATTTTAGTTTTAAAGGGGGAAGGTATTTCCTATATCAAATGATTGATGTAGTTCAAAACACCATTTATTTTTATTACTTCCATCTTGTCAAACGACCAAGACAGGTTAGATAGTAAGATATGTATGATTGATCGTTAATGCAGAATGTGTCACACTAGCTGTCCAGGGTGATTAATCACGTATGTTAAGGTCAGTAAGCTATCTAAGCTAGTAAGCTCTAGCTATATACTAGTAGTACGCTTATTCTGCGCGTAACTGGATGAGTGAACATGCGCAGTACCGGTAATGAAAGAGTCCACCCACACCTAGCCTACTTACCGGTGTCACTGGTGAACACAATGTTATTTGTATGGGCAAATCAACCAAATCTTAGTCAAAAACAATCCTAACTTCTCATCCATTAATTAACCAAAGTCATTGGTAATATACGTAATGGATTTCCATCAGTTATCGATAGGAGGTAAATCCATCGTTCCTGTACAACATGTCTTTTGATTAAATGAAGCCTATTTCCATATTTGTTATGAGGCCTATCATAAAAAAACTAAGCCAAACTGAACTAATCTAACTTAAACCTAATTGCCAAAGCACGACGTAAGGAATCTCCTAAAAAATATCGTATGGCTTACAATGATGATTTAAAACTATATCGTAATTATATCATCTAAAAATGATTATAACTCCAATATATGTTTATCTAACTAATGAAGGGTTCCCACACTCCGGACTGCTTGCCTCAACTACTTCCACCACCACTTCCTACGTCGTAAACATGTTTCCCTCCCTTCCTATGGCATTTTAGTATTGCAGGTACATTAACCTAACTGTCACAAAGGGTCCCCACACTCCGGACTGCTGGCCTCAACTACTTCCATCACCACTTCCTACGTCGTAAACATGTTTCCCTCCCTTCCTATGGCATTTTAGTATTGCAGGTACAACCTAACTGTCACAAAGGGTCCCCACACTCCGGACTGCTCGCCTTGACTACTTCCTTCACCACTTCCTACGTCGTGGACCTGTTTCCCTCCCTTCCCATAGCATTTTTAGAATTGCAGATACATTAATCTAACTATTACAACGGGTTCCCACACTCCGGACTGCTCGCCTTAACTACTTCCTTCACCACTTCCTACGTCGTGTACCTGTTTCCCTCCCTTCCTTTAGAATTTTATTATTGAAGATCGATTAATCTAACTGTCACAAAGGGTTCCCACACTCCGGACTGCTCGCCTTAACTACTTCCTTCACCACTTCCTACGTCGTGGACCTGTTTCTCTCCCTTCCCATAGCATTTTTAGAATTGCAGATACATTAATCTAACTGTCACAAAGGGTTCCCACACTCCGGACTGCTCGCCTAGACTACTTCCTTCACCACTTCCTACGTCGTGGACCTGTTTCCCTCCCGTCCTTTAGAATTTTATTATTGCAGATCCATTAATATAACTTTCACAAAGGGTTCCCACACTCTGGACTGCTCGCTTTAACTACTTCCTTCACCACTTCCTACGTCGTGGACCTGTTTCCCTCCCTTCCTTTAGCATTTTATTATTGCAGATACATTAATTTAACTGTTACAACGGGTTCCCACACTCCGGACTGCTCGCCTTGACTACTTCCTTCACCACTTCCTACGTCGTGGACCTGTTTCCCTCCCTTCCTTTAGAATTTTATTATTGCAGATCCATTAATCTAACTGTCACAAAGGGTTCCCACACTCTGGACTGCTCGCCCTAACTACTTCCTTCACCACTTCCTACGTCGTGGACCTGTTTCCCCCCCTTCCTTTAGCATTTTATTATTGCAGATCCATTAATCTAACTGTCACAAAGGGTTCCCACACTCCGGACTGCTCGCCTTGACTACTTCCTTCACCACTTCCTACGTCGTGGACCTATTTCCCTCCCGTCCTTTAGCATTTTATTATTGCAGATCCATTAATCAAACTGTCACAAAGGGTTCCCACACTCCCGACTGCTCGCCTTGACTACTTCATTCACCACTTCCTATGTCGTGGACCTGTTTCCCTCCCTTCCTTTAGAATTTTATTTTTGCAGATCCATTAATCTAACTGTCATAAAGGGTTCCCACACTCCGGACTGTTCGCCTTAACTACTTCCTTCACCACTTCCTACGTCGTGGACCTGTTTCCCTCCCTTCCTTTAGAATTTTTTATTACAGATCCATTAATCTAACTGTCACAACGGGTTCCCACACTCCGGACTGCTCGCCTTGACTACTTCCTTCGCCACTTCCTACGTCGTGGACCTGTTTCTCTCCCTTCCCATAGCATTTTTAGGATTGCAGATACATTATCTAACTATTAAAACGGGTTCCCACACTCCGGACTGCTCGCCTTGACTACTTCCTTCACCACTTCCTACGTCGTGGACCTGTTTCCCTCCCTTCCTTTATCATTTTATTATTGCAGATCCATTAATTTAACTGTCACAAAGGCTTTCCACACTCCGAAGCGTTCGCCTTGACTACTTCCTTCACTACTACTTCCTACATCGTAGACCTGTTTCCCTCTCTTTCCATAGCATTTAAGTATTATAGTGATATATTAATTTAACAGTCACAAAGTGTTTCCACACTCCGCACTGCTCACCTTTCCGCTTCCTTTACCACTCTCTACGTCGTGGACCGGTTTCCCCCCCCCCTTCGCATAGCATTTTAGTATTACTAACATCTTGAATATTTAACATTCATGTATTACTAACATTGAATATTTAATATTCAATGCCAACATTAAATTGAATAATGTAAAAAGCTGCTTTGTTCTTAATATATACATATATATTTTTAGTTTAAAGGTGAATTTTAATACTGAACATAAACGGTATATAACTGCCGATTAATATTGTAAAGTTCAATTTATCATTCAAAAAGTTGTGAAATTTAATTAACTTAAACAACATTATTCTGAAACCTGTGAAATTATAATGATATATATTCATAGACGTCAAACTGTTTACTCCATGAATGAAAGAGCTTAGAGTAAATGTCGTTCTCTCTGTCTTAAGTAGACAACAAAATTGTTGGTCGCAAAACGTAAACAAATAAAAAGAAGAAAAAGGTAGCTCCTAATGTTATTCTTATGGGACAAATTTAAAAATGTTTTTTAAGGGTTTTATAATTACTACTGAGCGGAATCGTCTAGAATTTTAATGAGGTCTTCCCACTGGTGTCATAATTATCTGTGCAAAATTTGAAAGCTATAAGTGCGACGGTTCTTGAGTTTTTGGTGCGAACACACGGACTCACAGACAACTTTTCTCCGACTCCGCTATACACGATACATAGATTCGTTCACTTCGTTCACTCATCTATTAATAGGCAAGCATGTTTCTTTAACACTTTTTTTCTCAGCTCTTGTGCATTGCAGGGAAAATCACGTGTTAGAAATATAGTTTACTGTAGATGTGCAGAATACCATTATAAATTAAAATAGGCAAAAAATAAGCACACAAAATAATTTTAAATTAATATTAAATTAACATGGGCCTTATGGGTCGCCATGCTGGTGACGAAATATAAACAACAAAATCCAAACAAATCGAAGAAATCCCATTCACAAGATTTATTTACAGCGGAAGTCTGTACATTGCACATTGCATTTTGGTCGAGTTTTCGACCACTGGACGACCTCTAGTGTATTACTAGAAGAAATAAGAATATTTAACTTCTGAAAGCATCACATCGTTCATCTTTTTATTTAAATATACACTTACTTAAGACTATTTAACTTCAGTGCTTGTAAGCTTCTGTAGCGGTTTCTTTTTTACCTTGAGGTTTTAAAAACCACCTGCTTTATCCATTCAAAACATGAAATGTAAAATGAAATGTTTTCCACAGATTACGATAAATACATTCTAGAACGAATGCTTGATGAACTCCATTCAACAAGAGTGAACTAAGTACTGTAGTTGCTCTATTGGGGATTAGAATAGCAAAAACGGACAGTGAACAAATCAGAGTAATTCTCAAAGCAACCACCGACGCGGAGGGACCAATTTATCATTGTCACAGCCGTAGAGAGGGTAATTCAGTGGTTGGTTTGGTTCAGCGTTCTTTTTTTCCAATGTTTATCAAGCTTAAAAAGATTTTTTTTTATTTTTGAAAATTTAATCCGTAGAGAAAAAGTTATTACCGTAGGTTGCAAGGTAAGACCTAGACCCAGGACCGATTCACCTTTTCATTTTTATGCGCCCAGAGGCCAAAAATACTATTCGTGTTAATGTTAATATTTATTCTTGTCTGTGAACAGAATAACTTGAGTGATTGTGCCCGATTTTGTTCAAGTTTGGCATGAACGTGTAGGGCTGGATACACTTGAATGAGTTTGCAAACCAGCAGGATTGTGCTAAGAGAACACGGTTTTACAAGGGTTTCTAAAACTAACCTTTAAAATATATAATTTTTGATAGTTTCTCTCCCTTCCCATAGCATTTTTAGAATTGCAGATACATTAATCTAACTGTCACAAAGGGTTCCCACACTCCGGACTGCTCGCCTAGACTACTTCCTTCACCACTTCCTACGTCGTGGACCTGTTTCCCTCCCGTCCTTTAGAATTTTAATAGAATTTTTTATAGAACCCAATTTTTAATAGAACCATAGTTTAGAGCTTAAAAAATCACTTTGTACATTAAAGCCATGTTGTACAATTAAACAATACGAAGGAAATTCCCAAAAAACAGCACATTTAAAAATACCATGTTATTTTTAAGGCA